TTCTCGAGGATGGAAGTTATAGGCTTGAGTTCATCGGTACAGTACTTCAACCCACTGAGCTACTGGCTTTGTAGAATGAAAAGATTAATTTTTTTCAATGTCGGCATTTAATTGCATGAACATAGAACTTGAAACGTAGAGAAATATAGCCTGAATTTAATCTCTGTTTTATAAGTTACACAATGTTCTGTTGTCACGCAGGGCATAGTATTTTTAATAGGTAACTTTTCAGAGTCGCATATGAAACTTATAGCCAGCATCTTTTGTTAAGAGTTGAGAGTTAGCCCAGCTCAGGATGTGCCCTCTGCTTTGAAAGTGGACCTCTCTTCCTGGAGATAATAAAGTCCACAGTTGCCCGTTAAGCAATTGCTGATTTTTACTTATTAAAAGATATTAAAGAAAATTATATTCTTTTCTGTATGCATCTTACTTTGAAAACTTTTCCTAAGTAGATCTATAGCTTCCTTTGTGGAAACTAAACACCAGGCCTTTGTCCACCACCTAGGGGAGGAGGATTTGACTGGTGAGTAAAATGTGGGCCAAGGCCAAAGCCAGAACCAGGGTTGGGCCAGAGGAGCCACTGTCTATGAGAACTGGGTTTAGGACATTACGTTTAGCCCTGCAAAGAACTCTAAGCAATTCATCTCAAAGGTGAGGTCCCCTTACCACCAATGTAATGCAGCCAGAAGTCTTGCCCTTCCCAACAGTTAAAGGCTCTCGTCTTTAAAAGGGTAGTCATTTTCATCTCTTAAAATCTCTTGAGGTTGGGGTAGTTCTAGAGGTTTGGGGCCAAATGCTTTTGACTTTACTAGGGTAAGTAAGCTTATAAAGCGTGGACAGACATTCAGGGTCCTTCATGTCTGTATTCTTTGGGAATGGGTGTCTTCCGAGTCTCTCCCAATAACTGGGGCAGAAACTTATCATCTCTTGGTTCCTAATTGCTCATAATGGGTTTGTGACAGTGGTGACAATTTATCATAAGTTTAAAAACTGTTGGAGACAATGAAAAGTAAGTGAAAATTGTATTATTAGATATATAAATACTGTTGACTAGTAATTATATGATAGCCCCCATATATATGTACACACACATGTATGTACACGCACCTGCGTGCGCATACACACACCCACACTACTACCTGAAGAAATTTTACAGCTCAGTTAGAATGAAAACCATAATAAAAAAAGACATATTTTGATGAATAACTTGTTCAATCAGTGATACAAATATTAGGTTGTCTGGTTTAAACAGACAGTTAGAATATTCCTGAGAGACTTCCTGGAGGAGGTAGAAAATCAACTGGATTCTGTAGACTGAATAAGAGTTGGACAATCAGAGAGGATGGAGAAGTATGAAAATAGTACAACCAAAGGCATTTGTTGAGGATTTGTTAAGAGAACTAGTGGGAAGAAAGATAAAGCAGAGCCGGAACAGGATACCAGCTATTCCCTGCCAGGCAGTGGATTCTTGAAGACTGGGAACCCACACGCCCTCCTCCTTGGACAGTAAAAAGCAAGTGTCTTAGCTGCGTCATGCTCTTATCTTGAGGGATCTGGGATTAGTCCTCAGCAAAGACTTTGGAGATAATGTGGCAGACCAGGCAGCTGTTGCGTAAGTCCTGGAAAAAGGGAGTGTTTAAGATCAGTGTATTTATACCATGAGGATTCTCACCGCCCCTGTCCTCAGCTCCTGGGCATGTTCCTGAGTTGTTTTTCATAGTGAATATTAGTCAAATGGGTACTTTCTTCTCCCTTCACTCATACAACCCCCAGCTATCAACTTCTAACGTCCCACTTCTTACATAGACATCTGCAGGATGCCAGCTTGGTCCAGATGCAGGTGTAATGTCTGCTTGTGGGACAGAAAGAAACGAGTTCGTTTAAAAATTGAACTTGTACCTCTGGCCTCTGACACTGAGCTCCTTGGCCCAGACTTTTTTTTTTTTTTTATGACTAATAAGCATCTTTCTTCCAAGCGAGATTCCTCTCCTACAACGGACGTTTCGTCAGTTAATAAAATATTAGTCGCTGTTTCTGTGGAGACTGCTTTGAAGATTTGGTTAAATAAGAGGAACATATCACCAAGAAATGGTCCCATTATGAGAAACGGGGTCATAGCACACAGGCCTGGGAGTTCTGAGACCAGGACATTCTAGGGCCAGCTTACACCTCTTCTGTGTGTAATAGGCCCAGTCATTTGTTCCTTGCAAGTTTGTTTAATGATTAGAAATGGTATATAGAAAGCATCTGGCTCTACGTTTTATATAGATTACTCTCCTGAGTTGGGGATTTGCTGTGTTCCATTGATGCTGTGAGATGGCTTTAAAGTAAGAAGGTGGCCGCAGATGGTGCCAGCCTTCTCAGGCAGCATCCTCTGCAGGCAGGGAACACGCGACGCCAGCCTGGCAGTGGCAGGCCTTGGAGAGACTCAGGCTCACACGGCCACTGATAAGAAGAAATCCTTTATTTTTGCTTTGCTGAGAAGGTGGTGCTGTCTTCCACTGGGAAATCAGTTTCACCATGCCGTGGATCTCAGTAAGCGGGCTCAGGCGACTGCTTTTCTCACGGAGAGACGTATTTCTGTTTTCAGTGATCATGAAACTGACCCAAGACTGTATAAAGGAAATAGCCCATTCACTCTCCTTGTCATTCCTACTACCTTCTAGAAATTAAGAGTGAAGAAGGGATTTTTATCTTTCAGTCCGGAAACCGTACCTTCTTCTGGTTTGAAACGAGTAGCTTTATGTCCTTGGAAACCTGCCATATACCAATTTGTACGATAAAAGGAATTTTTGTTGGATGTCATTTTGAAGGTAAAGTAACAAAGCCATAGTGCCACGGGATCCCTAAAATAGCTAAGCACATAATGACGGGGCTTGACGCTTCCTCATCACAAGCTTGAAAACACGTCCTTTTTGGAGTTGGATCCAATATTAAGGACCCCTGATGTGGATGATGAGAGGTTTATATTCTATGCTGGGTTTTCATATAGATAGCGGAGTCCACTTTACTGTTGTAAGATAGAGTAAAAAAATCTCCCCATGAAAGTTATGTTAGGTGAGAAGAGTATATTAGTAATAACTTGGTTTATGAAAAAATTATCTGCAAAGTTGCTGTAAACAGCAGTCATTCCTCATACTTAGACATTGGTCTGACCAACCCCTCCCCGCATTTGTTTTTACATGCAGCCCTCTTGCACACAACACCGCTTGTGTACATGCAGCCTCTCGGAGTGCGGTGATGGGGAAGCGGTTACCTCCGCGCAGAGAATGGTGGCCCTTTCTGGCCTCTGCTGAGTATTCTACACCAATAACCAAGCAGCCTGTAGGGGGCAGCAGAACACCAAATAAAGCCACTGTGCCTGGGGCTGTCAGGATTTTCTGGCTCATCGCCCAGCCCTTTGGAGACTGTGGTGCAACACCCTCACTTCTCTCTTTTGCCCAGCAAAACTCATCCTTTAGGCCTTGCAAGGTGGGGACCTTTGCTGTTAAGCCTTTTCCACACCACTTGCTTCCCCTCACACCCTCCTCCGCCCTTTTCTTCCACGCTCTTAAGCCCTCTGTGTCTGTGTCTACTTTGTACCGTATCATGTAGCTTAATGATGATTCTTGTTTGCTACTGTTTCACAATCAGCTCTACCTGTCCATTTGGCCAGGAACACTGTCTTATGGCTCTGTGTTTCCCATAATACCCGGACTGCCCTGGAGGTCTAAATAAAAGCCCACAGCAGCTGGAAGACCCCTTTTCCTGTAGTGCGTGCTTGATACAGATTTGCTAATTCGATTATCAAGATGGTCTTGTTTTTTTCTGTAGAAGAGAAAATATTTGCTTGCCTTATTTCTAAAATGGCCACATTCTCCCATGCTTTCTGGTTTGTTTCAGATCGGGGTCAGATGGAGGGTTTTCAAAATAAATCCAGAAGTGTAACAGAGAACAATAACTTTGGTACCATAGAAGAAGCAAATGGGCTCTTCCCCTTCCCGGCTGTGTGCCTCGGTCAAGGTGACATCACAGCCTCAGTTTTCTCACTCATAAGATGAGGCCATCTAAGCCCATCATGTAATTTATTGTGTAAACTGGAGCCTTTTTTGAGAGCGAAGGCGGACATTTAAAAATAATTACAATCGTATAGTTTTTTTGAAATATTGATTGAGGAGTGCTTTTTTAAAATTTTTTTTGGCTTATAAAATTGTTCTATTTGAAAATGATTTTCAAAGTAAAATTTCCCACAGAAATTAAAATAATACATAAACATGACAAATTGTAAAGGGTGGGTAGCGAGCTCCCCAAATGCTACCAACCCAAGGTGTGAGTTTTGTCCAGCTCCAGCAGAAAAATACTGATCAAAGAAGGTGGTCCTGCTTATATGTCGTCAGACAGCTGTCTCAGCAGTAGAGAAGACCCGGAGGGCGGCCGTGCAATTTTGGGTGACAGTTTGGCTGCCCTGTGAGCACAGAGCTTTTCTTGTCACTTGTGAACTCACTACTGCTTCCGGGCAACCTGCCTGGAAAGCTGGAGGAACCAGCCTTGGCACCCCGCTTCTGCACCCAGCTCCTGCCATTTCGGCAGTTGTGTTTAAATACTGGGTTTATAATAAACTTAATAGTCTGAGCTGTAAAATACGAACCTGCCTCGAATGGTGGTGTCCCCATGTAGCCAGAGGCTTAATTGCCGTTCTGTGATTGGGTTTCTAGGGTTGGGTGCATCCCTTTTAGAAAACTCTAAATCCATTACTCTTCACCCTGCCTTTTGTAACTGCTGTTTGCTCTGGTAATGAGAGCTCCTTAGTTTGTGTGTTCATTTAACCTAAAGTCCTGCAGAGCTGAGGCTCATGTTTTTGCCAATTCCTTGCGTGCTGGAGAGAATTCACGGAGTGCTCTGTGGCCTCCTGGAAGTAGGGAAGGATCTGTCAACGTGTGACAGGAAAGTCAAGTCTGGGGAGAGGTTTTATGGCAGGAACAGCCCTCTGCATGGCTCCTAACAGCCTCTTCTTTCTCTAGGTATGTGTACATTCCAGTGGGCGGGTCCCAGCATGGCCTTCTGGGGACATTGTTTTCCACTGCAATGACTTTTGCATTTGTGAGCTACTGGCATGGTGGGTACGACTACCTCTGGTCCTGGGCAGCACTCAACTGGCTGGGAGTCACCGTGGAGAATGGAGTCCGGAGGCTTGTGGAGACCCCGTGGGTCCAGGACTTCTTGGTGAGCAGGGTGTGTGGTAGCGGGCAGTCGAGCGAAGTGGACTAGGTTTGGGAAGGAAGGTGGTCATCATATTCAGTGTATCATGGGCCCTTCTTGCTAGGTTGGTACAAAGCCCCCGTGCCTGGAGGTAGGGCAATTAAAAAAATAGACTTCCATAGCTTTTTTCTTTTTTTAATAAATGTTTTAACTATACAAACAATACATATTTATTACATAAAAATTAGAACATTCAGAAAGGAATAAAAGAAGAGAATAATGCCTCAGCAGAAACCACCGTTAATACCCGTTCTTCCAAATATTTTTTTATATACCTCCCCACGCACGTAACATGTAAAACAAATGCTGTTATTCTAGAGATGTGGTTGTATCAGGACCACCTTTCTATGTCACCAAATCTATTTCTAACAACCCTCGTTAATGGCTGCATACACGTGCCATAAGTTATTTAATTAGTCTCCTATTATTAATAATCGTTATTCTGATTTTTTGCATTTATCAGTTGCATTGAGATGTATATCATAACTAGGATGAATTCTTACATGTAAAATTGCTAAGTTAAACGTTTTTCTCACTTTTAAGCTTTGCCATGCATACTGCTTAACTTTTTTCTTAAATTCCCTGTAGACAGAGTGTCCATTTACATCTCTACCAACACTTCCCAATACTGAGTAGCTGCAGTATTTTAATCTCTGCTAATTTGATAGGTACTGTTATAATAGCATATAAAACGCCTAAGGGTTTAAGATGTAGTCCAGCTCTACAGGATAATGATTTGGAAAATTAATTAAGCATTTTTCTTAACACATTTTAAGTGATTTTAAACTACCAGTAAATGTTTTATCATGTCAATGTGGTATATGATTTACTAGAATCTTGTAGGAAATCATCAGTTGTGAGTATGAAGCAATATTCTGATAGCTCTGGAAAAAAAGTGCTAAAAACAAATATGATGGCATCAGTGTTCGCGGCAGGCAATAAAACACAAGAAATTCACTGAAAAATGATTAATGTGGATAAATTTCCCCAGTATATGCAGCTAAAGCAAATATTTTTTTTAAACCAACGCTACTAAAATAGAATACGTTTGAGTGTTTTTCTGTAAAGCTAGCTATAGTACAAATTGACAGTGATTTCAGTAAAAACTGATACAAAGTACATAGCAAAACAACACATGTGAAAGAATTTAAATATGCTCATGCGTGTTTAAATATTCAGTAGTAGTACCCAGAAATCAGCAGAAACGAAATGTCAGTGAATTCTAATAGAAGATGGAATTTCAGCGAAAGCCACGGCTATGCAACACAAAGAAAAACCGTAAAAGGTAGTGTCATAAAGGTTCCCATCTTCATCCTGAAGTCTGAGCAGTCTTCCCCAAAGCCTGAAATCCAGTCATTACCTGTGAAAGCCAGAGAATTCCTTTTAGCCCAGGACGAAGCCCTGTAACACATTGTCATGTTCCTTCACGAAAGGTCTAATGTTAACCTTGAACTGAATGTTAAGCGGTGCTCTGTAGACTTTGAGCCATAGCTTCTATTATTCATAAATTTTAAAAACGTAAAATGTTAACAAGGTAACCCAAACTGTGCTTCATAGCCTATGGCTTGTTATTCTTGGTTAAAAATCAGCGAAGACAGTGAAGACACCTACTCGCAGGATGAAGCCCTTGGATGTCTGCTCTGTGCCATCGCAGCCCTGTCCAGACCCCTCATGCGCTTACTGCATTTAAGTTGCTATCCATGATCGAAACACTGAGGAGCATAGTACCTTGTGAATATGCATTTTTGGGGGAGTGAGAGAGATGTCTTATATATCGCAAATGTGATGTTTAGTTTACACATTTATCGAGCAAGAACATGTTTTCCAACACTCGTGTTTATCGCCTGTCTTTCATGGCGACGACCTGCACTTGGTTGTGGCTGTTTAGACTAGGAGCTCCTGGAGTACAGGGTTAGGATCCTGTTGCTATTTATATCCCTAACGGTTAGCTCCGTGTCTGGATTAGCCGCGGTGTTAAGTCGGTGCACAATGAGTGCTTCCAAATTGGGTCGATTCTTAAGATCTTCCACTTGTCCACCCCAGGACTCTCCATCCATTTTTCTGTTTCTTATACAGTTCAGCACAGATTCTGTTTTCCTTCAGAAAAACATGGCCGGCATTGCAAAGGTACATAACCTTTTGAATAAACTGTTTCCTCGCTCGAATTACCCTTCCCCTCTCGTTTCATGAACCTATTTCCCATTCTTTTGTCAAAACCCATTAAAGACTTAGTGCCTCCTTGGCACCCACTTCCATCTGACCTCGGTCTCCCCAGTTGATCTGATAGCATTTTTACGGTGTGAGTTCACGCCCTGTGGCCCTCGTACGCTCTCTCCATGGCATTCATCCCTCATCTGTTTTTAAAAGATAGATTAAAGATATCTGAATAGCAAGGGTTATTTGCCATGTCTTCTTCATCTTCAACCTCAAAGCTTTGTCTTTGACAAAGTATAGTAGGATTCTATTTCTTGGTGTTGATAGGATGAGACTAGTCAGAGCTGAGTGTTGTAAGTAGGAAGCCCTCTGATGTCCCAGGCAGGGCTGTTCACTCAAACTTTCGGCTGTGATGGAAATGTCCATTGCACTGTCCAATGTAGTCATCACTGGCCATGCCGAGCAACTGAGAAACTAGTTTTAAAATTCATTTTGTTAATCAATTTGAATCTAAGTAGCCCCCATGTGGCTAGCAACTTCCATTTCGAGCAGTGCTGTTCTAGAATATACTGCTTTTCTAGCAAAAAAAATTAAAAGAATGTAGAGTGTTCGACTTTGTTCAAACACTTATTTAGAATGATCTTCATTAATGGTGTGAATGTCCACCTAGCTACTGAATCTGTCCACTCAGATATGCTGCAGATACCTCAGAATTAGCACGTGTAATAATGAACTCGTGTACTCTTATCGCTCAATAATCGCAACCAGCTCCTTTCCCTCAAACATTCTTTGTTTCTGCAGAGGGCACCGTCATCCATCCAGTTGCTCAAGGCCAAAACCATCGCGGTATCCCTTGTATGACCCTCTGTCTCAGTTCTTGCTGTGTGTACCATACATTCTACCTCCTAAGTCGATCTTAATTTGTTTTTACTTGTTTCCATTTCTGCCAAGTCACTCTAATCCAACTGTTCTCATTTCTTGCCAGGCCTACCAAATAGCTTCTGACTTGACTCCCTGCTTCCACGTTTGCCTTCTTCAGTTCATTATCCTCATGGTGCTGAGTGATGCTTCTCAATAAAAATCTAACCATGTTGTCGTTTTTAAGATCCATAGCGACATCCTCTCCCATCCTCTATGCCCCTTCCCCCTCATATTCTGTTCTTCCTTCTGTTCATTTTCATGCCTGGCCCCTCCAGCCTCAGCTCCTACGCACAGGCTCTTCCATCTCCTAGGATGCCTTTCCCTCCACCCATATTCATCCCTCAGATTTCAGCTTGAATGATACCTCATTTAAGTATCCTTCACTGACCCTATTAAGTCAGTCAGGTCCCGTTCAGTAACTCATATTGGGCACCTTGTATATGGTCTCTTCTGCTGTACTTATCACAGTTGCAATGAAATGTTTTTATGCAATAACTTGTTCAATCCTTAGCTCCCTTACCGAACCATAAATCTCACGAGGTCAGAGATCTGTACCCTTGAGACTTGCCACAACGCCTGGCACAAAGTAAGCACACAGTAAATATTTGTTGAATGAGTGAATGAATGAATGATATTTTCTGACTTCACTGAGGGAAGTATACGAGGAAATAGACTTATGCAGCAGCATGAAGAATAGAGATTGAATACTGGAACAGTTTACTAAGATGGGGCTTGTTAAGCATTATACAGGGAGATTATTCTGCTTTGGAGCAGAGTAGATACTAATTGGTCTGGTTATGGAAAAATGCTATTTTAATGCTCAGAGCACAAAACATGTATGGGAAAGAAAGGGGCGGAGAGGGCTCTGCCTTCCTGGTACCCTGCTGCTTTGTAAGAGAGGGGACTATTCGTTGTCACTCACTGAGGCACAGAGCTGTAGGAAGCGGACAAAAGGCATTTTCACAAAGCACCGAGCTGGGTGGACAAAGAGGAGTTACTGCTGAAGCAGCACGCTTTTTCTCTATATAAGTGCTCTCCCGGGGAGCTAGGATTTGTGTTTAGCATTGAAATCGTTTAATAAGTGGAAACCTTTTGAAGCGTCAGTAGAGTGACACTACTTCTTGCCAATTCTCAATCTGATCTCTTCTTTGAAGAAAGACCCTTGAAGACTGCTTGTCAGTTATTCCTACACGAAGGAGAATCTATGTCTCAAGCTATTCACCCACCCCCAGCCTGTTTCATTGAATAATTTAAATATGTCTTCCTCCCCCTGCCCTCGTCCCCTCTTCTTTGCCCCAAGAGTGTCCTGCTAAGCTGATTTATATCCTCTGTGAAGCAGTAAAATCTCTATTTATAGACTTAATTGAGGAAACGTGCCTCCAGTGAAAATCACGGAAGGTCAATCTAATGATTCTGAGAGGGATCTGATGCTGTCGTGTGTCAGAAAGAACCCCAAAACATGGCTCTGTGGTGATGTCCATTTAGTTTATCAGCTGTATTGATCAGTTTGATTTTTAAGATGTAGGTCTAGAAATTTCAAGAGTTTGAGGGATCGGTCAACTTAAAAGGGTAATTGACTGTAAAACCATCCACATGAGCCAACCGACGTTACTTAGTTCTATGGAATCCTGACTGGCAAGATGTCCATGTCGGCTGGCCTGATTAGAAAACCCTTGCACTGGAGGTCAGTGATCACCGCCCCCACGAACCTGCTGAAGGAACGCAAAGCAAACTGGTCTGAGAAGAGTTGATCTGTTTGACAACAACTCGCCATCTATTCCTCCGCGGCTTGGATTCATGTCAACAAACAGAGGTCACGTCTCACAGTAGATAAGCCATTTTCTCCAGAACGCAGCCCTTCCTAGACTGAGCCCACTGAGGCAGTCGAC